TGTGTGTGTGTGTGTGTGTGTGTGTGTGTGTGTGTGTGTGTGTGTGTGTCTCAAAGAAAATTGAGAAGGCCCATATTTGTCAGTTAACTTGTAGTCTCTTTCTTGGGCTTCATTAGCACACATATAATCCACACGGCACATTCTCACACACATGTAGTCACTCATAAGCACTCACGTGTCTCCGTCTTCATCCTGCCCAGTAGCTCTGCTGTAATCCATCCCGTTGAGCAGCATCCTGGCCTGTTCCAGCTTGGTGGCGTCCATTGACGAACCAAAGCTCAGCTGTGCGGTCTGACTGGAGCCCAGAAGGGACCAAGACGAAGACATGCCGGGATCTGTGACTCCACTCATCGGGCACTCCTGCTCAGGAGAAAACAGGTAATAAAGGTCAAACCATCATACAGGTATGATCCAGATACGTACAACATGTTAGTACAAAGTCCACATTTACAGGATTTCTCTTACGTAAGTTTGAGTCATTGTGTCTCCATATCCCGGGACCTGCTGCTGTGTGCCGTATTCAGATGTCATTGGGTGGCTGTAGGCTGCAGCGTAGCTGGTTTCTGGATGGCTGTGGTAGTAACCGACTGCAGACTCTGCTGCAGGGGTCCACTGCTCATAGCTCACTGCCATGTCTGAGTAGCTGCTTGATGCACCTAAAATGGAAAGGACTCAGTCAGTAATGTTAAGACATTATGTTCAAGATAAAATAACAGGTCTGGTGATGTTTCACAATTTTGTTATTGCCAACAAATCCCATGAAAAGACCAAAAACCACAAAGTGTTAGTCCCTCCCTAAATACTTTCTGACTTCCCCACCCTGTCCCAAACCATAGACATACATCCTAGTAATAAACAGGTCAAAAACACATCATTCATTTTTAATTGGTGTATTTTTTGGAGATAGTGTATGTGTAATTGCCTCCATGTGTCCATGTTCATCTTATTGAAGGAACATGTCAACCAAAGAGACAGTGGGGCTAATTGAAGCATTTTTTTATACTTTTTGGACAGAAATGAAGCTCTACGTCCCAGAGGAATGAGCTATATCAGGCCATAAAGAATATCAACAGATTTTTCCTTTAAGTGTTGTGCGGAAGTTGTCCTACTCTTACCTGTACAGGTAAACTGTTCTGCTGAAGGTAACTGCTGGGAGAATGGAAGAAAAAAACAAACATCAACAGTCACATCTTTACGACATAACATTTAGTGAGATGCTGATCCCCTCTGTGAGCTGCCTTACTGTAACAGTAGTTGGAGGAGCAGGACTTGTGCTGGCCGTAGAGCAGGAGGGTGGGACAGACGTTGTCTCACGCCTTCTCTTCTGCTCCAAGAGTTTCTTCACTGTGGGCAGACTGCAACACTGCTTCTCTTTTGGCGCTGAAAAGGGTCAATAGTGCAAAAAGGAATGACTTGTCATGTGTTTTGTTCACATGTGACGTACATAATAAATGGATACATTTTGGAAATGCAACAGTTAGGGCTGCAGCGAATTACTTTTTATAATTATCCATGTATCTGCAGGTTATCTTTTATAAGTATTGATTCATTATTTGATATATAAAATGGTTTGTCCATCCAACAGTCAAAATCCCAAATATATTTCATTTAGAATTCTATCAAACATAAAGCTGCAAATAGATCGATTATTCAGCTCTCTCTTTTTATGGTTATGCATCACAAAATATGTCAGTTAGAAAATAAATAGCAGATAATGTAAAGTATGGGTAGCCTCTCTGTGTATGCAAGTTCTAATCTCACTGGAGTATATCAACATTTTACTTTATATCTCATCAAGAGAGGCTTTGGTTTATTAAAGCAGTAATGCCATCTCTTAAATGAGTCCGCCTGCTCACTTTCTCCACTGTGGCATTTTTCTGCGCCTCCTTAGACAAAAGTACATCAAATAGAAAATATCAAATCCATTATACTATGAGTATGTTTTCCTCTGCTGATAAAAATAAGTATAATTTCCATTAAACAGGTGAGAAAAATAGGAAAACATATTGCAAAACAGAATTGTGATGTTTCCAGCTGACATGACGTGACTACACAGGTTGTTTCCTCAAAACCTTCACCCCACACGTGAAAGATAAAGTGATATTTCCACCTTGTCTGTGGAACCGGAGTACAAAGATAAAGCTCTGAGAAACCTCTTCCATTAGGAACATAGATCGTGCGGCTGTGCAAAACCAGACAGATTCATCAGAAAACCTTTAGCATAGGATTGCCACAGCTTATTTTCTATGACATCTTCCTGTCTCACTCCGTTACGCTAACAGAAAAGGCAAACCACATCTTCCTGTCTTCGGTGTGTCACAGGCACGTCACCTCGACACGTGTGGCTGCCTTGTGCTTTCTTTTGCACCTACATGTCCCGGAGGCAGAGCATGAAGAAGAGAGTTATGTACCTGTGTCATTTATCATGTTCTTCTTGCCTGTGAATGTTGACTGCTGTGTTGCGCCACACAGGGACAATATAGCTCTATTCTCCAGAGCAAATACAAAGAAGGTATACTTCCAAAAACAAAATATGCAAATTCCACCAGCGAGAGAGAAATGTGAGTTTGTGGAGATTAGATTTCTGTCTGGTAGTCGCGTCTTTCAAAAGCAACACTTTCACTTCCAGCTGAAAACCTGTCCCAAACATTAAGGCCTTGTGCTGCTGTGTGCGTGACCTGCCCCCACAATATCATAAAGGTCACTTTATCAGAATAAATGACATCAGTCAGTACATTTCAGTGACGCCAGGTTTCATTTTGTAGTTCAGAAGGTGTTACTATAGGTTACTCAATCCTGACTCATTTGATCTTTACAACAAAAGGAAACCTTTGGCCTTTCTGTTACTGATGATGTAATGCTGCAAAATGTAATGACACAATCGATATCAAACAGCAAATGACCATACAATAGAAGTTGCCCAACACTTTACAGTCTGACACATCAGCTGAGAGAAACTAGAAGTGAGGAAATGGCTTTTAGTTTCTCTAAGAGTAAGAGGACATCTTAGCCCACACACACATATGTACATGTTGGGTTTGCTTAAAGTGCCCCCACACTGCTTTGGGCTACTCTGTGCAATATTCAAATAGGAGTTGTGGAAACCCCTGGACATTGAGTCATGTGCGTGGGAGGTTGGGGATTCCGACAACCTTTCTCTTTTGGCTTACTGTGTACAGAAAGAAAGAAGCAGTGCGGAGCCAATTTCCTCATTTTGTGATATAACCGAGCCCGACAAGACAGAGAAGATATGTGATCACTCAAGCCTGTGTCAAAGAGGGCTTGAACAAAGAAAGCTAAGTCGTCACGTCACAAAGTTTGTCTGGCATTAATCAAAAGGGGAAATGAAAACAACGAGCAGGGGTGTAGGTGTATTAGGGTTTCCCCAAATAATGTCCTGACTCTTGGATTCACCAGAATTATGCTGTCATTCAACAACAACTGAAAGAAAGGCTGAAGGTGCCACTGAACTATATTAAATCTAAAATATACACATTGTCCTTTTGGTTAGAAAACACAGTCTAACATTAAAACACAGTTACAGTTTACAAAAGCTCAAATCAGTGAGATTTAGGGTCCACAGTTCTAAATAGTTCTAAATAAAGTCAAACCTGATTCTATCAAATGTGTTTACGATGGAGGGATAATGTGTAATGTTGTAGACTTACAAATACAATCAATTAGTTTTCATCATACTGATGCCACTAACACAATAACACATTACTGTATGTTGAAAACAAGTATGTTCAGCAATGCAATAACTTGAAAAACGATTAGTTGTCATCATTACTGTCAACATTATAAATCTGCACTCAATGAACAAATCATACCAGCGGTGACACTTGTAGCCTGCACATAATTAACAAATCAAAAGCACATGTACTCACATTTATCAAAGTGCATGTCAGAAACGGTTTTGCTTTGAAATCTTCAACAGGTCGTCCTCTCGGTCACCAGTCTGTTTCAAAAGGTGATGAAGTGATTTACAGCCCTGGAGCGATCTGTGATGTTCTGTGGTGAAGTCTGACTGGCTTGTTGTCTTATTGCCGCCTGCTTGTACACACAGAGCACGTTGTTCCCCATCACCGCCCCCAGCTGTGCTCAACGCCCACTAGCAAAGGGGAAGCCACACACATGTCAAACCACGGCAGGGTAGAGAATGAAATATGATGCGAAAAACAGTTATTAACAACAAGTATACAAGTTAAACACAAAGGTACAAGGGCACAATGGTGGAGGAAGTATTTAGATCATTTAATTAAAAGTAGGAATAGCGTTATGTCGAAATACATTTTTATGAGTAAAAGTCATGTTGTTAACAAAGTGAAAGCACAGAGGTACTATCATAAAAATGTATTCCAACTTTAAATGTAGAAGTATTGCGCTGAATGGCTTCCATCAGTACATTAGTACTATAATATGGTTGAATGCATATTCATATTCATGCATATACATGAAGTGTAAGCAACATTTTAACAGCTTTATTAGCTGGTCCAGGCTTGCAATTTTAACACACTTTAACAAATGAATCGTTGGGTTTAATTATCATATGTTATATACTGATCTCATGTTTCTGTGTTAAATGTTAACCTGGAAGTAAAACAATAAGTAACTATCACTTTAACTTTCAAGTAAATTTAGTGGAGTAAAAAGTACACCATTTGCCCCAAAGTAGGTAGCACTATGAAGAAGTGACCAAGACTGCCTTAAAATTGTACAGTACTTAAATAATTGTACTTTACTCACTCAGTCAGTCAGTAACTCAATAAATCAAACAATTAATCAAAAAGTTTTCAGTGCAATGTTACAATACTGAATGACAAACAATAAATACATTATTCAATGACGTTTTGTATCTCAATAAAAGAGACATGACCAACACAATGCAATTGAACCACAAATTACTACTACTACTAGCAATAATACTTTATTTATGAATAAATAAATGGTCTAGCTTTTTTTTACCCCCAAAAGGAAGATATTGTTGATGAAAACTCTAACTCAATCAGTGTAAAGTCTACATTTTCTGCCAATCAACTAATAGAGTTTACTCCTTTATTAAAAGAGGAGTGTGTAAGACTCACTGTCTGAAGCTGGTGTTTGTCTATTCTGGGCAACATGGCGGACTCTGTGAAGAGGACCTGCCTACTATGTAGATATGGGCGGCTCTTTCTAAGGTAATGAAAACACAACTATTCTTACTTTCAGATGATTAAACACTAAAGAAAACATCATTACTAATAATACATTCCATTTCTGCCTATAAATTCCCCTAATCCTACACAGTGCTCCTTCAGCACAAATGTTCAGATAATGAAAGTAAATGTTTTCAGCTTTAGAAAACATACTTCTTATGCCATCTATTGATGTACCTGTCAATCGATATTACATTGAGAGCAGTTTCTTCTCCTGTGTTTTGAATTTTGATAGTTAGGCTACTGTTTTGTGTATTTGTCTCTCAGGTTGTGTATTTCGTGAACTGTATTTTTTTTGTGGTACACATATAGACATAGACACAGCCTTACAGGAAACTCTGTGTCACCTGCAAAAACACAGACATCAAGACCTCATATTGCTCCATAGACCATTGCCAAACAACACAACAGTAAAGAGAGATGTAAAATGTGGAGTAATAGGTTTAACTAGAACATAGAATTAAAGGACCAAATTGCAATAACAAGGGATCAAAGTACAAGTCAGTTAAAACTAATGAATTAAAATGGTAAAAGAAAGTTGGATAAGATAGATATAAATCAGATATATTAGGTCTATCATGTTAGTATCAGTGAGATTTTTCTTTTTTCTTTTCTTTTATGAAAATCTTGAAATGTTGACCAGACAGCCTCAAGTTGTCGATGTGTTTCAAAAGGTGAAAATAAACTGCTTTCCTGAAGGTCTTACGCATCCCAAAGAACAGACAAATGGTCAGAGAACCACAGGGATCTAAAGGACGCTTAACTTTAAAACATGTCTGACATCAGTGGTGGAAGAAGTACTCAGATATTTTACTAATTGATACTACACTAAAAATATACTGTTAACAGTAAAAGTCCTGCAGTACAAAAAGTACCAAAAGTAAATGTATTCATTTTGAAGAATGCCCCATTTCAGAATGATATCTGTTATATTACTGGGTTATTCATACATTGGTGTGTTCATCGCTCTGATATTGTAGCTGGTAAACGTGGTTTCATTATTTTGTATACTGCTGGGTAATTTAACTTGTAAATAACAAATCATAATGAATTAGTTGATATATATTGTGTGTTAATAATCTCAATCTGTAAAGTAACAATAACTTAAGCTATCAACTAAATATAGTGGAGTAAAAAGTACAATATTTGCCAACATGTAGGAGCATCAGACAGATACAAATCTGAGTAGTTACCACAAAATTGTACTTAAATAAGTACATACAAAGTATACATACTACTCTATATTCAGTAAGTACTTAGTTACATTCATGACTTGACACTAGCACTCACCCTCCTGTCAAATGCTGGTAGAATTTGGCAGTGGTGTGAAACACAGTAACTCTTACAGTCTCTTGTATCCCTGCTCCACTTGTGCAATAAGAAGCTACTGTTCTTCTGTCTTTCTCTTAATCGGTTGATGTTTTCATTCAAAAGAAGCTTTACAACCTTTTCTGAGTGAATATTCGATGACTGTGTTGTGCATTCTATGTAGTCTTGATTTGGGTATTAACAGGGGTCATTTACTTGTAAAATTGTAAAATTTTGTTATTCAGGTAAATTGTAGCAAACCATAGTCAACTTTAGTCAAATTAAACTTAATTTCCCAACAATAAAATTGTGGATAGTGAAAATACTGAGAGGCTGTTGGCTGGCCCGTGAGTTAATGGTTACATTCCAGCACTGTCTGTCGTATTCAGGGTAAGGCTAGTGACTAAATTCAAGACAAAATCTTAAAATGTTGAAACTAACCATTAATAAAGACTATATAAATATTACATGGTTTGTATAGCGCCCCCTTATGGACATTTCCCCCCCAATTAAGACTGTATTATTTCAGATGAGACAGTTTTTTCGTGATGAAAAAACAGGGATAAAACAATAGACAAAAGTGTGTGAAATTTATTTTCAATTTCAAAGGCATCAATCTGTAGTGCTGCAGATGGAGCTGTGAGGCTTTTATGGACAGCGTATCCATAAAAGCCTCACAGCTCCATCTGCTGTCGCAAAGTTGTCAGGATTAATCGACTACAAAGACGAACCATGCAGACATAGTGCATTGAATCGTCTCAAAGTCGAATTGGCAAACTGCGTCGTACTGAATGTAAGTGTCACGATCTATCTTAATTGTTTCTTGTCTTTTGTAATGTTTTTATGTCTGTGAATTGCAGGAGTGGAATTTAACTAACTACATCCACTCAAGTTCTGCACTTAAGTAGAACTTTGAGATACTAAATCAACGGATAAATGATGCTATCAGTATATAAAGGAGTTGAAATTAGCTCCACCTTTACCATCAAAGTGAAATACACATTAAGACATCAGTAATTCTAATCCAGTGATATGATAAGAATTCTGAATTGGGCCAGTCTACACAATGAATGTTTTTACTTTTGTTACTTTTACTATATTTTGTATACATCTGGGCTTTAACTTAAGTACAATTTTGAATGCGGTACTTTTATTTGTAGCACAGTATTTCTACACTGTCAAATTGCTACTTCAACTTGATAAAAGTAAAATTCTGGAAATGGAGTGCAAAGTCCAGGACAAACTTCTTGGGGACATTTAAATGTATGCTATTTTATTCTATTATAATGTATACCCACTCTGTATTTATTCAGATGCAGATCAAATCTGCCAATCCGCATTGTGTTTACACAAAAACAAACAGGCAGTGTTTCGGCCCACCAGAGGAAGGAAGACAATTTGACGTCAGGGTTCAAAAGTGAAAACTAATGGGAAACTAGAGACACGTCCTCTTTTGGATTCCAGATAGCAGAGCAGCTGGAGGAGAGCAGGTATGAGGATCTTTACTCAGACTGACTTTCTCTTCCTCATCCTAACTTTTAACGGTTCACTGTCTGTCAAAGTCACATCAAAATCTCTTTTGTGTGTAGTTGTAGGTTAAATATATACAACAGGAAGATCTAGTAAAAGTTTTGTTTTATACAACTGTGAAAACTAAATTTGCCACATGAAATGCATTCGCCAGAGCTTCATGTTCATGACTTTCTGATGATTTTAGAGAGTCCATTTAAGAATTTGTTTATCATTTTCTATTCCCTTTTTCTCATCTATTTTTGTCAAATGCCTACTCAGAAGCGTATGACTCATTGTGATATGGAGTTGTTCATTCAGTAGTGCAGATATAAAAGGTCAAACCTACAGTTTTTGGGTGATTTAGCTTTGATATGCTAATATCAAATACAATGAAATTTGAAAGAGAGGTACTTATAACACCACATGTGAGAGTTTTATGGAATATGTTTCTCAATTTAGAAGCATGTCGCTCAAGACAAAGTTTGGTTTCTTTTTTGTATTTCAGAGAGCTCATGACTGAGTTGACCAACTTGATAATGGCTTACAACAAATTCTTTATTGTCATAGCTTTTCTGTGCAGTAAGTACGTTTTCATATCTCTCCTCTCATTCTTGTACACACTCAAATATAGGTGGTCTTGCACAGGAAAATGAAACCACAAACATTTTGCGTAACGGAAACTTAACCAACAGAGGTGTTGCTGCACGCCACCATTAGCAAGACAACAGCAGAATCTCTCATGTTTCTTTCTTTTCTTTCTCTTAGACCTGGCTGTGGCACTCACAGGTACATACAACAAAAAGAGGACACACACAACTTTGAAATTCAATGTTTATGAATGTTATCATCATTATCATCATCAACATGTTATTTGGAAAAACAAGCAACACAAATGCGGAGCCAGACCACGAGACCTGATGATTCATTTTTTCCTGTTAGTCTTATAGTTCACATCTTCCATCCCACTCTTTTCTTTCTGTCTGTGTTTCTCAGAGAGCACAGTGTCTTGCTACAGGATCGAGCCGGGGACGATAGCAGCCATCATCTGTGCAGATGTGCTGCTGACCCTTGTCATTGTCATTGTCACCTACCGATGTGCCAGCCATCGGCGTCAGAAGATGGACAATGGTGAGGCGATGGGGCTAAAATGAGTCAATGTTGTGTGTAGAAGTGTGGATGAAAAGGTTTATGAGGGATCGGCCTCACAGATCTGCTCATACTGTTTCATACTCCTGTTTATATTGGCATGTACATGTTTTTCTCCTATGTTGATAAGATTATTTGTTTACATTTGTAAAACTTTTTGGTACCCTGCCAAAAGTGCCTGTGGTCTATGATATCACTATATCCGTCTCACTCTCTTATTATGTTCTTTGTATTTGGTCATTTTCTATTGTCAAATACTAAATGATCTCTGTATTTGTTTCTCACTCTCATCTCTTCACAGCTGACAAAGTGTACATGAATGTCCGAGCCAACTGCAAGAGCTGATCTAAAGGTGCTGCAGTACATTATAAGATTATGTTAATTTTTTTTAAATCCTGTTTTTTTTTTCAACAAAGAAATTATTCAGAAAATGTTTAAAAAGATGAATTCAACATTCAACTCATTTGCAATAAACACAAGCAGAGTGACTTGCACATATTACAATTCATCAACCTTGTGAATAAGATATCTTTGTTGTTTAACAACACGACACAGCACCCTCTGCAGTTGACTTTTGGTAGCACTTGACTAAATACTGTATTTTCAACAGGCCCTGAACTTTTCATGTAAACATTTCCGCTGTATTTTTATGAGTGATTTAAAAAAAAATAAAAGACTGACCTGCTGATTTTACACAGATGTTTTACAGTGTATCACCTGCCAAACCACTGAGTTGATGATGTATTAAAAGAAATGAATAAAAGAAATTCAGCTTCAGCATAAAAAACAAGTTTCAAGAAAATGTTCCATGTCTGGTAATATTTATGTTGAATGGACATTGGCTGTTGGAAGTAGATGTTTTTCATGTGTTTGGTTGGTTCACATGCTTTTCTCTGTTGGTTAGCTTCAAAAGTTTTTAGTTTTTTCTTCTTCTCACAAACACTTCTTCTCATCTACTTTATCAGGGTGTACTAAAGCGACATTTAAACAGTGCGACTAACACAGGAGACCTGATTAGACCTGGGACAGGTGATGTTAGGTTTCCCTGTGTGTTGATGAGGTGATACTGTGGTCAAGCTGTCTGCTGTTTCAGTTTAACATAATTACCAAATTCAATATCTGTGAAACATCTGTCTGATCTACCTCCTCTATCGATGCACTACATTATTTAAATGTATGCAGTGGAAACCCTCTTGTATAAATAACCCAGAGGGATTTCTCAAGAGCCGATAGCCATGGGATTGGATTGGATTGGAATAGCTAAACTGTCTCCTCTCATTTTCACAAAAGTTGGGAAATTGCAGGGTGGTTGTGCAGGAGGAACTTCCCTTGCTCAGAGCTGCTCTATTATTGAGTATCTTTTGACACCTACATACAATAATACATCTGCTGGTATATATAGCTTTAATTAATTCCCACTTGGAAAAAAATTGTTGTACATGCCTGTCTTTCAGTTCTGTTGATGACACCAACACCTACAGTTTTGGTCACAACCTGGCAAACCCAAAAGTTGTTCTTATTCATGGTTTCTGAACCGTTTTAGGAAATTATTAATTACCATTAATAGAGCACTTGGTTACAACTCACACATTTTATTATGTGCTTTAATCAAAATGCAGTCAAAGGGCTCCAATTTGTCTTGCAGCTGCAAGGCATTTACAACTACAAAGAAAAGAAAAAGTATTTGGCTGCTTTTAACATACATTAAATCTAAAATGTTACTGAATATTTTCATAAGTCTTCTGGCAGTTCCCTGTAGAACTAAAAGGGACAGCTTTTGGAAAAACATGTTTGAGAAAATGTGGCTTGCTTTAGCTTTCTTCCTTTATATGATTTTTAACCTTAATTAAATTGCTAACTTTTATTCCTGATTTTTTTACAAATGATTTTTATTACATTTAATGTCCGAATCATTTATTTTGTATTTTCTGTTTTACTAGGATCAGATTAGATTCGATTATTATCAGCACTTTGCTATATTAATAAACATTGCTATTATTGTTGATGTTGTTATTGTTGTTGTTGTTGTGTATGTCTGTGTTCAGTACACATCCTGTACACACATATACTTGTATTTTAGGTATTCATAAATAGAAATATTTAGACAGTTGTATTAGATCATTATGACACCTCGAAGTCTCCTTGACAAAAACAATAAAGGTAAGCTTTCATTTCTCTGACAGGACATCATCATTAGATATAACCCGGACTGGCAGCAGTGCTGTGGCCTGCTCAAAACCACAGGACATGAGGAAATGCTCTATTCGGAGATACAGCCGCATGCATTTTAGCAGAAACTGCAGGTGTAATGAAACTGATGATATACAGCTCCTTATCTTGGCATCACTTGGACGTGTTACTTTGAAGAATCTAAATGCTGTTAATAAGTCAAAAAAGATGGCTAATGATCAAATGATCGCATGTGACAGGGTGTAAGAATGAGTATCTATGTAACCCTCACATGAATGTCACATTACAGAGAAGAAGCAATAACACCAGCTTCCTCTTCTATGCAGCGGACTCCCTCCTCCTCCTCCTCCTCCTCCTCACACAGTCACATGCTGACAATCTTCAGACCACTGACAGTATCGCTTTGTGGACGGTTCTTCATCTGTGAACCCTCCTATCTCTGGCTTTCAACATCTTGTTTATAGGTGTGACCACACAGCCATTTGAAAGACAACAGAAGGACCGGCCCTCAACCTCTCTCTCTCATTTCTTCCTTTGCCAGAAACCAACATAAAGATGTTTGATATTTGTATTGTGGGTTCGTTTTTTGGTGAGTGGTGTTCTATATGTTTGACAGAGAATGATGAGTGTACTCTCTCAACTGCTATTATAAGGTTTTTATTAACTCTCTTTCAGGATCTGCAGAAGGACAGCAAGGTATTTTGCTTTCTTAAACCTTTACCTCTTGTGGGATGCTTGACTACGATGTTGTGAGTTTTGGTTTTGTGTTACAACGCCACGTCTTCCCTCTTTCACAGACTGTGTTTCCTGTTACCTGATAAATATAGCGTCTGTATTGGGCATTATTGCCTCTGATATCATCTTGACCGTCTTCATCACCATTTCTGTGTTCTGCTTTGCGACTCGCCACAAGAGAAGGAGGGAATGGGATGCTCATGATGGTGAGCATTGTTTTAGTGCTGCTAACTTGTGAGCGTGCATGGTGGGTAATAAGGCAGGTGGGCAGTAACGTTACCCTTTTTAACAGGTAAAAGAAATCTGCCATCATCAGCATCAAAGAAAATGGCAACAGAAGTCACAGAATCTCCTTACCAGGTAAAGCAGAACTATATTATTATTTAAGCCTCAAAGACACTCAATGTGATTTTTGTACAGTTATATCTAAATATTATTTGTGTTTCGATGATGAATTGTTGACTTTTTTGTAGGAGTTACATGGAGTCCAATCAGATGTGTACAGTGATCTTCGGCATTTTAGGAAATGAAACACTGGAACTATAAAAATACGAACAATGCCTTGTCTGCAAGCTATAATACCGCACACATCTGTTGTGTGTGTGAGCCACTTCCCACTGCATTATAGGTAATAACATACATGTCTTTTGCATGTTGTATTAAGTACTGTGTTGTGTTAAATGTGATGTTCACTGCAAAACATTCTTGTTTTTTCTCAAGCTGTCTTCAAATATGTTTTTTCTATTTAAGTGATTATAAATTAAACTACATTTTAAAATCAAGGAAATTAAAAAGATGCATTTTTTTTTTGTATTTATATTTCAGGAGATTACTTAAACACTTTCACATTACAGTGAACATACAAAGGCTTCACATATTGAGATAAAAGTAAAAATGTCAGACTCTCGAAGATTCTGTTCTCAGTGATCAGAATAGGTGTGCTTGTTTCATTTTCTGACATCTTTGATACTACGATCTATAGCAGCTTTAACCAGATTCCAGGAGTAAGTCAAGCACAGAATTGTCAGAACCTCTTTATTTCTTATATTTGTTCACATGGTCACAACACAAAATGCACGTCAAAATCTAAATTTAGATGAAAAAGTCCCAGAAGCAATTGTATTTGGAAGCAGCCAGTCTGCCTCGTATGACTCAACAGATGGCGGCCCCTGACTCATTATGAGGAAGAAATAGAATCTGGAAAAAGAGCGAAAAACAATTGGCATTCAACATTATATTCATACCAGATGAATAAAAAAGCAAGGTCTGGGAAACTGCACCTTCAAATTAGACAAGGATGAAATGTTACTAATTTAAACATTCATTATATGTTGCAGTTGTACCCTAAGCCAGACAGGATGGATAGAGATAAACACAAAACATTTGTCTGATTCAAATGTATTGGAAACACACCTTTGTATGATCATCAGGGGGCTCTGCTCGTGGCTGGAGCAGAGAAGCTACTGGGCATGAGCTCTTGAGGCGCTAGAGCGTACGTGAGAATTGACAGATCTTTCAGGAAAGCAACTCTATGCATTAGTTATCAAAGAATACGGTTACAATATTCTCCGAGGGGAAGAATAAAACATTTCTTACCTATTGGATGAGTTTCAGAGCTGAGAAACTCCCTGGTTTCTGTGGAATATTAAAACCCATTGTTCATGCTTTGATTGCTCAGAGCATCATTGGTGTTATTTAACTGAGAATCTGGTCTTACCATCATAGTCTGTATCTCCTCTGTTGCCCACTGGAGCAGGTCTGCCATTGTCCTCCAAACTCTTATGATCCATCAGTTCTCTGCTTCTGCCTGGGGCCAGCATACCATTGAACCCGTGAAGTCTTCCTGGTGTTGCCTTTCTTTGGAGACTGCCAGTCACTTGGTCCCCACTCGAACGGACAACTTGTTTTCCTGACAAATGTTCAGCCTCCTGAGCATCCACCGCCTGCTCTATGCTTGCTGGGTGTGCTCTGTGTGGCCCGCTATGCTCCCTGCTGCCCTGGTCCTGAACCAGCGGCCTCACATTGGTTTTGCTCCTTGATGGTGCTTTATCCTTCTCCACAACTTTAGAAATGATGATCTCATCACTGTCAAGGCCTCTGACTGCATCTGGGAAGAGTAAACGTTTTTACACAATCTGCATCAATGCGTCGTCATACATTGGGATGTTAGTTTTAACTTGAACTTAAGGGACTGCACCTTTGCTTTCACCTCCTTTTTTATCAGATACTTCAGGTCCTGAAGTATTGAGAAAACTTGTGTACGTAACATAAAGCCCACACACCTGTAAATCCATTGGAGCCAAAACTCTCTGTAGATTGCGCCTCTGACACATCTGTGAATGAGTTTGTTGTTTTTGTAATACCAAATCAAAAGACAATTAAGAAATAAAAGTGATAAGTTAGTTAGTTAATGTACATGATCTATACAGTATAATTCATTGTACTACTAATTTATTTCAGCAGGAAAAAAAACACAAAAATGTACCATCAGAATCTTGCTCTTTCACAGGTTTACTTGGAGGGTTTGCTGCAGATGTAGAAAAATATATTAAATATATGTATCTAATATTTATATAATATAAACACATAATCACTGAGGTGGTTTCATATTATAACAATCAGATAATGTCGAAAGTGGTTGCTACAGTAAACCCATACGATTAAACTAAATGATAAAGCAACACAAATACCAATATGTCTCTCCTCTGTTTTTGTCCCTTTCATTTGAAGCCCACGTTTATGTTCTTGGGGAACAAAAAGTACTTTGAGGATCTGGTATTATGATACCTTCCTGTTTTAAAACTCTGTGTATCTGAAAGTTACATTTTGAATCACAGACCTGTAATATTTGCAGGTATGGTCTTTTCCGTAGATGTGCCAAGTGAATCTATAACAAGAAGAAGAAGTTACGTGATAAAAGTTCCCGCTATGGTTTTAAATAATTATTTATCTAATTTCAAAAAGCAGTAGTAAGAAAATTTTGGCGTGAAGAAAACATCAAATGAAATTTAAAAATGACATAAATGATCTCACCATTTAGAAAGCTTAACACATTTTCTCTTCGCGCTTGAAAAGAAAGAAAGACAGAGAAGATGTTACCCCACTGATACATCTAAAGCTCAAAACAACATTTTATTATTTTTTCTCTCTTCAGGCTGGTTTACCTCTGATTTGGGCAGTTACCACCAGTGCAAACAGTAGAAGTAGACAAAACATGAAACTGAAACAAATAAAACCATTAATTCAACGTTGAAATGCATGTTTATATGGCATTGTCATTTGCAGCTGGGAAAAATAAATATTTCAATGACAGATTAAAAGAAAAAGAAAAATATCTATTGGACAAAATATAAAGACTTACAGCTTCATTGTTGACGTTGATCCTCAGATGGGTCCACTGTTTGTCAGCAAGAGCTCTGCTGTTTTATGTACTGCTGCTTTAGCCAGAATGTTTACCTTTAATAGGTCTCACCCTAGTTAATTAGATACTGACAACATGCATCAGATTGAGTAGCAAGTCAAAGACTATTTATGTGTGTTTAACAGTGCATGACTTGCAGGCAGAGGGGCAACAATTAGGCCACAGAAGGAGTCTATACAAGGGTCTATTCATGACATCAATTCAAGATGCAAACAAAATGTTCTCAACATTCAAACTCACAGAGAGCATTTGTCTTTCTCTCTATTGTGTGTTAATTACAGGTTGGTTACTTCAGGAAAATGCCCGTGGCATATTCTATGAATGGGGTAGCATTTAAAAGGATGCCACAGAGCATAGTCATTGTTTTCCGTCACTATTTCACCTTTGTCCATTTAACCAGGAAGCCACAGTGACCTTTTTTCAAAACCGGCTCTATACTGAACATTGAAATGCCTCTTGGTAGAAATATCCTGAAATTAAGAGCACAATAATGTAGTAACCGGGTGATAAAAAGCAGTTTTACAAAACTATTTGAATTGCACTTTGTATGTGTCTGTCTGCTGTACTCCAGCTATTATATAAAACATGTGATTTATGAAGGCCTGCTGAATGATATCTGCCCTCTTATATCAGAGCCTGTGGTGGTTAAACACGCATGTTGTTTGTGGAAATGAACAGTGCGTTCGGGATTAAGATTCACTGACAAAACATTCCAGTTGTGACTGACTACTCATACAGGAATGCAGATACAAGTTTATGCTTAGACCTGTTGGTGGAAGAGGGAGATACAACCCCCCTCCCCACCTCACCCCCATGAAAGACAAAAGGGAGAGCGCCCTCTGCAGGAAAGGCTGTTCGCACTAAGCTCTTGATCCCGAGCATCGCCATATTGACGTCCCAACAACGCTGAGAGGTAATCGTGTTATTTAACCACAAATCGTCGTAGGTTTGGAACCTCTGTTGAGTGTTTCATATGTGAGGAAAAGCCGAGAACAAGTAACGCAGCAGTGGTGCCTTTCTACTGCTCGATCACAGTGTTTGTAAGATGTTTTTTCAAGGCGTTGTCAGTCAGTTGCCTCGCCAAGCCAGCAGGCTATTCACTCCCCTAGCCTGCTAGCTTAGCACTTTATAGCTTTAGGAAATATATTTTTCGAAGCTTGTTGTTTAGCTCTATGTTAATCATAACCACGATGATTATTATTTGCCCGTTTGGACGCGGGGTGTTTATTAAATCCCGTTCCAGTCCCACAATGTCGCCGAACGTTAGCTAGTTGTGACTTTCCAACCGGCTTTTCCCTTTGCTGTTGACGAGCTAATGCTAACTAGCTAGCTAGCCCGACCAGCTGCCCGGTCTGTGTGAGAGCTAGTTAGCCGTTAGCTCCGCTGCACTAGTGCAGGCCTTGGGCCACAGAGGGTTTTTGCGTACGCTCACCTTTTCATTAAAGTATGTAGCGGGCTAACTGGCTACAATTGAAAAGAGTGTCTTGTACCAGACCTACCATTTCTCGATTGGATGCGTAATTTCATAAACCTGTTAATTTAATGGAGCCTTGCTAAACCTAGCTGTATTGGCTGGCAGACATTACCTCACATAGTTAGTTCATGTTTGCTCAATTGACAGCATTGATTTTAATCAACCTACATTCTGCCTTTTTTTCCGACAGGAGATACTGCCTTGCTGTAGTCCCCAGTGATGACTGTATTGAGCCCTGTACCTCCTGATTAGACTGGTCGGATGCCCCCATTTAACATTCAGGTCTCTACATTTAACACGCCACCATATTTTAACACAAGACGTGTTATTTAAATAACATATATTGCTATTTTAAGTTTCTCTGCCTTCCGCATGAAACATCTGCATTTCGTTTGAAATTCTCTTATTCAGATCAACATCCTGTGAATCAGTGGGGGAAATATTTTCAAGTTAAAACGTCTTTTAAGCTTTGATTATTTCTCAGTTCTACATATGGTGTTGAACTCATGTGAAATGTTTGACTGTAGTAGTCTAACAGTTTTGGTTTTTATATCTGTATGCCCATTTAGCTTTCTTACCATAAAGGCATCTCAACTGCTCCTGTTTCAATTCATCTATCACCATCATCCTGGAGGGAACCTCCCAGGTATTGTGTTTCCTTATAATTAGATCACCTTATTTCACCTATTTGTAGTTATATGAAGTCCTCAAGTGCTAACCATTGTACATTAGTACACAACATGCTTTTGAATGTACTTATGTTTTCTCTGTCATTTTAAGTGACTGAATCTTTTTAATATTTTTTTTGTTTTAGGATATTTAGAGAAGATCCCGTGTAGAATATGTCTGGCCCCGTCCCAAGCCGCTCCCGAGTTTACCCTGATGTAAACACACAGAGACCTCGGGAGTATTGGGACTATGAGTCCCATGTTGTTGAATGGGGGTAAGGCAAAGGGGAATTGTTGGTGCTTTAGTTGTTTTTGTTTTTGTATTGCTCTGCTTTATAACCCATCTCAGCATTGTTAACCATGGCTTCTTTTTTATTTATTTTTTTAGGAACCAAGACGACTATCAGCTAGTCAGAAAACTAGGGAGAGGCAAATATAGTGAAGTGTTTGAAGCCATAAACATCACAAACAATGAAAAAGTGGTCGTCAAAATACTGAAGGTATGGGAATAATCAATTGATTGTCCTTATGAAGTGTTGCAAATGCTCTTCAGTAAAACATATTCGTGATATTTTGTCACCTCGGGGGAGATTTCATGTACCTCACAAGACTGTCTTTGTTCACAGCCGGTCAAGAAAAAGAAAATCAAGAGGGAAATAAAGATCCTGGAGAATCTGAGGGGTGGCCCAAATATCATCTCACTGTTAGATATCGTCAAGGATCCTGTGGTAATTGGTTCTCTCCTTTTCTGCTCTGCAGTGAAGAACTTATGTATGTACAAGGTTTCATGCATAAACACACATCTCCATGTTTTTCCTTTCAGTCCCGAACCCCTGCTTTGGTCTTTGAACATGTGAACAACACAGATTTCAAGGTAAAGATCAGTTCTTTGTTGACTTGTCATTTTGGATATGCTTTTAATATTTTTATTTAAATGTCTCATACATTTTAATTTTTTACAGCAATTGTATCAAACCCTATCTGACTTTGACATACGGTTCTACATGTATGAAATCCTAAAGGTAAGGAATAGCTTTTGGTACGCTCAGTTCATTACATTAGTTTAATAATTCACATTTAACTTTCTGTGTATATTCTTTAATGTGTGTGTGTGTGTGTGTGTGTGTGTGTGTGTGTGTGTATGTATGTATAATGTACAATGTACATTATTCTTTTATTACCCACTAGGCTCTGGATTACTGCCACAGTATGGGGATTATGCACAGAGATGTCAAGCCACACAATGTAATGATCGACCATGAACACAGAAAGGTATTGTCTCACATGCTGACCATTCTCCTGTTTCTTGTTTTCCCTGCTGTGACGCCAGCAAATCATATATTTTAGTTTAAATACATTAAACTACATTTTTGTTTTTTACTTCCAGCTCCGCTTAATCGATTGGGGTTTGGCGGAATTCTACCACCCAAACCAGGAATACAACGTGAGAGTGGCATCCAGGTACTTCAAAGGACCTGAACTGCTGGTAGACTACCAGGTGAGCCTCCGATACTCTTCCTCTGTCTAGTCACGCCGCTTTTATACAAGATGCTCAAAATGGCACTTGGCATTTATAGTATTAAAGAAGAGAGGACTGTTTTTATTTTTGATTCAGTCATGGAGCCAGTTCAAGCCTTTTTAACCGCTCTATCTGTATTATTTGCAGATGTATGACTACAGCTTGGACATGTGGAGTTTGGGTTGCATGCTCGCCAGCATGATCTTCAGAAAGGAGCCTTTCTTTCACGGTCATGACAACTATGATCAGGTAAGTAAAATCAGCCCCTTTGTGTATGTGGTCACAAACCTGTGGCCTAAGGAGAGCTGTGTCTGGGGCTGTAACGTTGCATAGAACATGATGTCAGTTTTACACAGTCAAACCACATTCTTCTTACACTTGACGGAGGCCACATAGCTCTGCTGGAGCACCTGTGATTTTATGTTATTGTGCGAGGGTAGACATTTATTATTAACTTTTTGGGAGTTTGCTGCACTTAAAAACAGACAACTGTAGGATTGTACTCGTGGACACAGATCATAACACATTGTAGCCCCATGGATGGGGTCATTTGAGTTGTGGGCTTTCCCTACATGCACGGTAACACTGAACATAGCATTTCCAGTTCATTCCACGGCTCTTTTTGGGCTTGTGGCGTTTCAGTTCTAGTGGTACACAATAGCAGATGTTGTTTGACATAAACCAAAGGTAGCTTTGATAATAGAAAATCTTCCCAAACTGATATTAAATGAAATATGCACATTATTAATTAAAACGTGTATATTCCTATATAATTACCTCTTTATTAGCATAATGTATACTCTGCATACAGACCCACTACCTAATTGACTAGCACTATAAACTGAAATGGGCTCCATGCCCCTCAATACCCGTCATATGATTTAACAAATGTCTAATTGTACTCATTTCGTTGTTGAATTGTGCTTTTTCTAACTGTCAGCTGGTGCGAATTGCAAAAGTACTCGGCACCGAGGACCTGTACGACTACATTGACAAGTACAACATTGAATTGGATCCACGGTTCAATGACATTCTCGGAAGGTAAAACATTGTAGCTGCTTGACCTCGGCCAAGTATTATTGAATGTTTTGAACCAAGATTCTGGTTAATTAATACCTTCGCCTTAAAACTTGATCCCTGGTTCGTTCTCTGTAGACACTCCCGCAAAAGGTGGGAGAGGTTTGTGCACAGCGAGAACCAGCACCTGGTCAGCACAGAGGCTCTAGACTTCCTGGACAAACTGCTGCGCTATGACCATCAAGCCCGCCTCACGGCCAGAGAGGCCATGGAGCACCCCTACTTCTGTACGTTTTAGTTTCTCACCTTTTTTTTTTAATTTTTTTACCCTGTCTGCATCGCTTACTTATTGGCTTGAGTAAATTGCCTTAAACCAAAATTTGAGTGCAATATGTAAAGTGGCTCGATTGTGTCAATGCTTTTGTTGATGAGCCGCTCAAATCCCCTTTTGTTTGCAGATCCCATCGTTAAAGATCAGGGAAGAGGGGCCACTCCTGGGGGGATGGCTGCAAGCTCCACACCAGTCAGCTCCTCAAGTATGATGGCTGGTAAGTAGCCCCGCGTTCCTCTCATAATCTGACTATTTTTGGGGGGGCTTCAAATTGGAGATACAACTTTATTTGAAGCCAAATAAATTGGCAGATTGTCAGAAACGGTGTGTCACAATATCTAACTGTTTCTTTGAATGCAAACAAAGTTACATCTCTAATTTGAGATTGGGATGACAATGATTTAATGCGCGCCTCGTCTCTCCCAGGCATCACCTCAATGTCCTCCTCACAGCCGCTGGCTAACATTGCTGGATCACCCGTCATCTCTGCTCCCAACACCCTGGCCACACAAGTCCCAGCAGCCACCGGGGCTCAACCCTGAAGCCACTTCCTCATGTTTATGTGTGCTCATGGCCATGTCCTGCCTAGCTCTCACTGCGGCCCAGGGACATGGCTCCCCTTTTTATGTTCAAAATAACAAAGAAGAAGATTTAAAATTTGCTTTTCACATTCAGTTATATTTTGACACCTGGACTTGACAGAAATGTATTGTTGCACCTGTCAGGATTATTAGAATTAATTTGAGTGTGTTATTTGACAATGCCATTGTCTAGAAACTCTAATAAGATGTAGACATGAAGAGAATGGATAATAAAATTTATTTTGTATGTTCCAAATATACAGTCTTGCTTGAAACTGTTTGATGGGGATCCTGCTGTATTACACTGTGAACCTTGACAAGATCTCACAAAACGGAGTCGGGGAATCTGGTGTGCCCCACCTTAACAGTGCTCGCCGGTTGCACACGATGTAATGTGCAGGAGTTGTTGGTGTTTTGAAGTTGTTAGATGCTATAATTCATTAATTGGACTTTTGTAGATATTCTACAGTTACTGTCAGGTTGCATGCACCCAATGCTGAGTATCACAGGGTCAATAGTTTGCCAATTTTATGTTACTTTCACTTCTATATGTGTATGTATGTGTTCATGTTTGTTTTTTATGAAGTCTCTTACACATGATTTTGATTACATAGACGATTTTGTAACTTTTTGTTTTATGTCGGGAGGAGTCATCACCTACAAAAACAACTTCAAAAATAAACAATTTAAACAGGGCTTTGCAGAAGCTACACGTTATTGAGTATACCGTCTGTTGACTGGTCGCATTGGCAATATATGGGTGAATTTAAAGCAGAACAGCGTAGTCAGCATGTCCGACAAAGACCATTTGCCTTTGATAATAAATTAATATTGGCACCAAATGATTTAATGTGTTCATAAAGTGCATTCCACGGCTTCCCATGCTGTTCATGCGTTCACGTTTTGAAGGAAGTGAGTGAAATGCATTTATCTTAATCATTTTCTACATAGTGTTTTAATTCTTTTTGAGTTATGGAGGCATCAAGTGTGTTGGTGTACAGTACACGTTTCAAAAGATTAAAAGCTGAATGTGTGAACTGGAGCAGGGAACACATTCAGAGCACATCTTTTAGTGTCAGTTCTGACCAAAATGGCGGGATGATGCTCCAACTACAATAAAGTTGAAGATAAGTCTGCATGACTCGCATGCATGTTGGAAAAAAATGAAGGCTTCCACAAACCAGGCAGTGACAGAAATAACATCCTGGTTGCGCCCAGAGGTTTAGCAAAAGTTAAAATGACACAAAAAGTGTTCATTATCCTGGACATGTAAACGGTCAAGAGGTCACGAAAGTCCATTTACTTTCAGAGCGTCTGATGGACACTAACTCACTCAGTGCTTCTACTGTCCCACACGGACAGAACCTGTACTGGACACTACTATCCCACACGGACAGAACCTGTACTGGACACTACTATCCCACACGGACAGAACCTGTACTGGACACTACTATCCCACACGGACTGGACACAGCGTCTTTAACGCTATCTGATCTAGATCAGGGGTACGCTGCAGCATTAGAGCTGTTAGGAGATGCGATTTTTGGCTTCGGATGTCGTATCGTGGATGTGACACAGATAGGCTCCAACCATTCAGAAACATGCTGCATTCACGTGTTTCTTATATATCGGAAATCATAAATACTAAATACTTTTTTCGTGTTCAATTTCATTTTTTGGTGGGACACATTTTGACAATAAACATACATGTCTTGTATTTTATCTTGTGAATCAAGATATACCCATACTGGCCTATATTGTACCGCAGATGTAAGATGAAGAGAGGAGGGAGAGGGGGACGCATCTGGTCTATTAGGTTGAATGCCAACGTGTCAATTGCAAGATGCCAGTGTGAGTATTTTTTGTATTTGTGTTCGCACCAAATACACGACAGCAACTTTAATCAAAATCAGCAACTACGAAAGAAAGGGTTAAAGAAAAGATTTGTTGTCATATGTCCGATAGTTCTGAAGGCAGCACCAGTTGCGCCTGCTGTGACACGCCTCCGTTTCAGTAGTCAGGCACTATAACCAGCCGAACCGCTACAACAATAAACAAAGTCGACCAGTAGTCTAGAATAACTTGTTTTTTTAAATAAACTTTTCCAAAATGGGAAAAGTAGCCGTTGTCTCGCTTGTAATAGCTGCCTTATCGGTGCTGCTCGGAGAGAGGATTGTAAATATCAGGTAAAATAGGAGGCAACTCCGTCAATGTTTTGGAGTTTGTTCATGATTCTTTTTTTTCAGGAAAAAACTAAAGTTTTATTCTGGCCACTTGTCCTAATTTAACGTCTGTGTTGAAAACATTGCAGGAAAAGGACCTTGGCTTCAAGGGAGCTGGTCCAGAATCACCTCCCCAACTGTGTTGCACTCAAAAATCTTGGTATGTAACGCCTGCAGAACAATTAGACACGAGTTGAGGTGAACGTTAAAATGATCTGTGCGACTGTCGTAACGTTACTTTCAGATTCTGGCTCAGAGGATATAACGATCCTTGGAAACGGACTTGCCTTTATCAGCACTGTAAGTATTTGAGTTGGAGCAGCTGCTGGAAATATAGGCCTCTCGGGGTTAAAACAAAACAGTGCCACTCATAGAAGTGAGCTTTTTGTCATTGAAACCAGCCTTATGGCCAGAGATTGACCGATATAAAAAAAAGATAATGTTACTCATCTTTCGTTTGACATTCATTTTATTTGTTTTAGATATGCTCAACATAACTTCAAATAAGGTTTCTTTAATCCTACCTATGACCTCGAAAGGAAAAAGCTAAATCAATAAATTTGATCAACTTAAAACTGCATGAACTTTCCACAAAGGTCAGTTGGTTTATCTGTATTTGGCTTTATAAACTGCAGAAAATGGCGTTACTCAGGTACTGTGTGAATGTGAACTAAGGCCTGATCTTTTCCAACCTGCTCTGCAATGTTTTATAGGTTCAGCATAATTAAGTGTTGTTTTTTTTATCTCCAGGGTTTGAAGCATCCTGGACTTCCATCCTCAGATGTTATAGGAAAGATCTACACCCTTGATATGAAAGATCCTCGGATGAAACCAGCGGAGGTGCGCATGCCAAGAAATTTTGATCTGGAGTCATTCAACCCTCATGGCATCAGCGTGTACATCGATCCAAGTGGTAAAAGCACTCGTTGTTCATGTGTGGCTGCACACGTCTCTAAAAGATAGCACCTTAAGGGCAAATACCCTAGTCCTTGGCCTATCTACCGCTTAAACATGTCTCGATGAATTGAAGTAAATGGGGGAGCGTTTAACAACAGCTAAACTATATCAAAACATCCGTTTACAAACTCTCACACAGCTCATGCAGTATAATCCAAGTCTCATTAGTCCAGTTGAATGCTCACTACTTCTCAAACATGCATCTTTGCTAAAACCTTTCCATTAACAACAATGGGGACTCGTCTGGACTTGCATAGACGAGTAGTGCATGAGACTGTTTATGCACAAGTGTTTTGAACAGTAGGTTTTAGTGACGATGCATGTGTTTGACAAGTACTGAAGATACGAATGGATAAATGAGACTTGGGTTATACTGCACGAGGTTTGTTGGAGTTTGTAAAGGGATAGTGAAATCGTTTTTTGCAGTTGTTAAACGTAATTGATATACAGATGGTCATTTTGCGGGTAAAGTATTCCACTAATAGCACAAATTTAATTACATTTTGCGATGGAAAGGTAATTGTATTTTCAACTCAGCCCACTGTATTTGTACTGAAGACAAATTGCATTGACTTTGTTATGAAAATGTGCATGTAGAGTCGCCTGCTGTGATATTCACAATGGGTATACATTTGGCATAATAACAGTAGCTAAGACTTCTGCACTATCTTCAGTGTGTCACTATATATCAAATGAAATATAAATAGAAATATACACAATCAGTACATTTAAGTACATGTCAATGCTAAGTAAGTGGTGTTTATTAGTATGGGCTTCTTTTTTGAGTAAAATCTACAACTACAGATATGATTCTGATGCATTCTTAGCCGAAAGAACAGTCTTAAGCGTTGGTACCATTGTAGCTTTGATAATTCTCTTTTTTTTAAATTGAAGTCATGCATGTCCCTCTACTTTTAGTCTTTCACACACACACACACACACACACACACACACACACACACACACACACACACTGACGCACACACACACCCTTTTCAGTTTGGTTGCCAGTCTTTTTTCTTTACAATGCTTTCTCTGTTTCTCATCAGATGACGCAATATACCTGTTTGTCGTCAGTCATCCTCAACACAAAAGCCAAATAGAGCTGTTCAAATTTGTTGAGGACAACCACTCACTGGAGCACCTGAAAACCATAAAGCATGAACTTCTCCACAGGTATAGTACGGGGAACTACACTTGACATTTACCAGTTAGCGAGATGTAGTCAATATGCATTGAAAACCATCCCATGTTATACCATAGTTATTCAAAAACCATATTGTGATTAATAATGTATTATAACAATTTTGTAATTCTGATTTTGTCTTTCCAGTGTAAACGATATTTTGGTAGTGGGAGTGGATAGCTTCTATGCCACCAACGATCACTACTTTACTCATGAAATCCTCAAAGGTTTGGTGGAGCCTCTTCTGGCTCAGCCTTGGTCTAATGTTGTGTACTACAGTCCTGAGGAAGTAAAAGTGGTCTCTGAAGGATATTACTTTGCAAATGGCATTAATATCTCACCGGACAAAAGGTAAGAATGCAGGGCTATGCATGCGGTTATTTATACTTCAAAAGTCTGAATTTCTTCATTTTAATGTTCTTTCTCGTGTATAGGCATATATATGTGGCAGATCTATTTGACCATAATGTGCATGTATTGGAGCGGAAAGAAGACAATGCATTAGTCTCAGTGAAGGTAAATAATTTAATGTTTCAGCAATAAGAAAGTGCACATTTCAAGAATCAGTTTTTGCACTGATGAATGATTATGCTTCGTCAACTTTAATAATTAAACATTTTATGCTTTTGTTATTATCATACTGATATTAGACAATACGATACAAGACTAGTGGGCTAGTATAGTGGGCGAGGAACTATGGGTGAAATGGATATCATGGTATTAATCATCATGATGTAAGTAATAATATTTTTTCAATATTGACATGACAGTATGGCTAATGTATGCAGAATTAAATGTCAAATGATACAACTTCCAGTGATATTTGAGTATTTCTTGTTTTGCATACCTGGTTATTGTGACAGCTTTTACATGGATATGTAATGAAGGACATCTGATTATGCCAGATGCAGTTGGTAAAAGCTGGTACTGTAACCCAACAGTTAAATAGTAAATTAAAGGTAAATAGTTAAATTCATTTTATATCAAAATCTATAATTTGAAATCAACATAACAGTAGGCACAAGTAGCAAGTATTCTTCATGTAATGTGCTTAAAGCATTGCAAGACCAATATACACCAATGCCAAACATAAGTACAAGATCAAGTCATGTTAGAATAAAAGTAATCAAGGCACCAAGATGCATGTATAATCATAACCCTGTCTGTGACACCTCACCAGTCTGTGGCTGTGGGTTCACTCTGTGACAACATTGAAGTGGAACCTGAAAGTGGTGACCTGTGGTTAGGCTGTCACCCTAATGGATGGAAAGTTTTCATGTTCGACCCCAAAGACCCACCTGGATCAGAGGTTTGTCCGTTCACTTTTACCAGTTAGTAAATTGTGAGAGGCCTGACAACATTACAATAACATGCAAAATGTAAAAGTACACTTAGCTGTATCTGCAATGTTCTGCTTACCTAAGCATCTTATCTGGCTATTCATACGTATTCATCTTGTTTATAATTCTTCCTTTCTCATGATTATGTTTTCTTCAGGTCATCCAAATCCAGAACATTCATTCAGATAAGCCAGAGGTGACTCAGGTGTACGCTGACGACGGCCATGTGATCTCTGGCTCCTCTGTAGCAGCTACCTATGGGGGGAAGTTGCTCATTGGTACTGTGTTCCATAAAGCCCTGTGCTGTGATTTGAAGTAGGCAATTACTGCTGGAAAAATGACTGAGCTTTTTGCAAAGCTCTCAATTAGACAAGGCAATGATGATATACATGGCTATTACAGCACTGGCTTTAGGGGGAAAGGCTGATAACAGACCCCGAAAAGAGCCTGAAAATCCAGAAGGAGCTTGAGGAAAATAGATGAATTGTATTTACATGATTTAATGGCAATGAGCCCTGGGGACAACTTTCTTATATACAGTCTATGAGTCCAACAGCATATTTGAAGGTGGTCTCAAACCCAGAAGTTACTGAACTACCCAGATACTTGAACCGCTGTGAAGTAAGTACTTGCAAAACAGATTAATTTCAACCTAACATTCATATATATTTGCTTTGCTGTGTATCATGAAATTAATATTTTTCACTGGTCACCTGCAAATTTTAAATCTCTGCAGATGGATTGTATTGAACTTAATGGTTTACTTGTCTTAATTGCATATTTGTTTCATGTATTTGAATGTAAATAAAACAACAAAGAGAGTCTTGATGCAACTGTAGTTTGTCTTGTGGTTCAATAAGTGTGCACTAAAAAGATGTGTGAATGTACACAAAAAGACTGAATATAAATCTGGATGTTATATATCTCCATTTTGGGCCCAATCCCAATGTCCCCCCCCCCCTTGGGCCTTGAACCCTGAACCTGATATCAGGGCCTTACTGACTTCACCTGCTAAGTGGTTGAGTGTGAGAGACTTAAAGGGCTTGAAATTGTGTAAATACGAATGGAACGTCAAAAATGATGATGTACAATTGTGGGTATTTATTTTAGACTTTTTTACTCCCTGATTTGAACGTCTTTCAGGTAATTTCAGATAATATATATTCGTTTTTGTCAAAACAGCTTGAATGACAAAATTAAATATTTGATGAATAAATATCCTTTTCTGTGTAAATTGAATATGACAAGCTGAACACGTGACCTGTCCTCTTTGTTTACCTTTCTTTACATCTCCATGCTTCCACTGGTAACCTCGTGTTTAACGTCACATTGTAATGCATTGTGGGTAAATCCCTTCGGCAAAGTCTGCATCTAATGCTGCCTTACGGAAAGGGTTCATAAAGGGCTGAAAATGTCTGCGAGAGAGCCCTCAAACACTCGATGATTTGACAGTAGGACAGCTCTAAACCCTCACGGGCTTTGCGGAAGCGTGCCTTTAACGTTCGTGAGGGCGGAGATTAGGATTGGGCCAAAGTGTGTCTGTGTGGCCTTTGGCATTTCTGAACATGGCTTCCATGAAGAAAATACTGGTTGCTGCTGTTGTTGCTGCCGTTGCAGCTTTCATTGGACACCGATTTCTGAAACTAAAGTAAGTTACCAGGAAGCTCTGCTGACGTTAATGCCAGGGTTATACACTGGTAGACTTTCAGGTTCTGCTTTGTTTTCCTGTGAAAGTCTGTGTATTTAATTTGTTCTGCAGGGAAATCTCCCTTGCTTCCAGAGAGGTGCCTGTGAAACACCTCAAATGTCATTATATAAAGAATATTGGTAGGCATTCTTCACTTTATGTTCATGTCATTGTCTTAAATTTGGGATTTACATTGTCAAAAATGTTGTGTAAGTTTAACATGTTTCTTAACTTGGACACATGAAGAGTTTGAAGTCCAGTTTGTTGACAGTAGGTCAAGTGTCGGCAGCGTGGTAATGTTAGGGTGGTAAAACTAAAGAACTGAAAAGTGTAACACGTGTTTTTGTTGTGTACAGAATATGGAGCAGAGGATATCACAATACTAAGAGATGGCCTGGCCTTTCTAAGCACAGTATGTTGTTACATGTATCACCGTTGCAGGAATCTTAACCCCTGCAGCATTGCAGTTCCGTTAAATAATCCTCTACACTATGTGAAATTATGGGTCAACCGTTTTAAATGAGTTGTGACTACCAGTTAGTCGACATAATTCACTAAGTATTGACCTCCTCAAGCATAATTATTGATATGCACCAACATCTTACATGCAGTGTTTTCCACTTCAGGGGTTACACGTTCCTGGACTGCCTCGGTTCTCCGATGAACCAGGGAAAATGTATGTCATGGATATGCTGCATCCAAAGCCAACGCCAGTGCAGCTGCAAATCAAAGGAGAGCTGGACCTCAGCTCTTTCAACCCACATGGCATTACTGCGTACATCGATGAAGCAGGTAAAGTACAAATCAGGTGCAATATCTCAACTATAGAACAAAGAAAATATGCGCTTGAAACTGAATTAATTTGATAAAGAGGATTGAAAAATTGTAAAAACCTTTAAATTAAACATGACATCTTTCATTGGTCCTTGTGAATTCTTAAGAATTTAATCAAGTGATAATTACCTCTTCCTTTTTTTTATTGTTTTTAAAAAATCTTTTTCTTGATACACACTTGTTTTGAACAATTAGGAGGTCTCACACAAAATGTGAATTTAGTCAATTATTTTATTTTTCAATTTTGCTGTTACACAAGTCATGTGACAAGAAAGATGTAATATTAAAGTTGAATACTCTGAAAAAAATATACAGAATAATGGTCGAAAGGTGATTTTTAAAATGATGAACTGTAAACCTTGTTGTTGCTCTTCAACATTTAGCATTCAAACAATGTACATTCATTTCTAAAGAGTTCTTTGTGTTTATACTTCAACATTGGGAACAAGTCTTGGTCCAAATGATGGTAAAACAAATGGCTTGAAAAGACAACAAAAAACCAAATGGCATTAGACGAATGAAGTTCCAGTTTCTTCAAATCAAAAGATATCTTTAAGGCACTGTGGTTGTTATGATACTCGGCTAATGCATACCAAGTGAAATGGACCGGAAGCAAGTCTCTGGTGCTTTCTGTGTTCTGCTGAACAACAATAGAGGCAAAATGTTTTAGTTTATAACAAGCCAGTTAATTAGAGAGTCAGGAACAGAATGGGAAACCAGAGTTACAACCACAGATTTCCTTGAAAGAATTTGTTGACTCACGCAACAAAGCCCTGCATGTCATACAGCCGGTTGGTGAGCCAACCTCATGTGCTTACTAGTTTTGTAATTTACTGGTGATGAGGTTTGCCCTGAAAAAAAGTCAAATGGTTTGAAAATATAGTCGCCCCAGAGATCACTGGACCACTGGAAAAACTCTATTACTGCGTGGCTGCTTGCCTCTTCTTGAGAATGTTTTGACTTAAGGAAAGGGAAATAAGGGAAGCGCATAACCACTAATTAAAAATAAGGGACAAGAAAATTCAAGTGATAAGAATGAAAAATAAGAAAATAGAAGTTTTTAAAGTTAATATTTTCATGAAATCAAACCACATTTTTGCTCTTATTTATGGTCAACATTTCCTCTGCAATTATCATATTTACATTCAGTAATTACCTTTCTTTGTAGTAGTTTTCATTGGTAGTGGCCGAGTCTGCCATTCCCACGAAGGGTTAAAATATTCCTCGCACATACAGCGGATTACTTAGGTAAAGTTAGAAAGACATTGACAGATTCGGACTTCCCGGTTCAATAAATCGTTAACGAAACGTTGCTAAAATACAAACGGTACCTCCCTGTAACCGTAGTGAGGTAGACAACAAGCTACAACCTTAATTGAATTAAAACGGGCCGTTTTACGGACTCCTCCGAGCTGGACAATCTGCATTGGTCTCAATGAGCGGCCGGCTGCGAGACTAGTGCGCAGGGACCGTCTACAAAGTGCAATGCGGAAAATACCTACTA